TTGTGGATGTAAACAGGTGGTTTATAAGTTAGTGACATGTTCCGAATGTTGTATGTTGAAAATAGTTTATAACTTTATTATCTCATATAGTAGAGTAGAAGATGCCAATGTTCTAATGAAATGTGGAGAAATACTATACTTTAGTTGAAATGTCGTTCTATACAAATGTACTGTCAAGTGTCCAGATTAGCAGATATTTAATGTCGAGAACTACACGTCAAATGTCAAGAAATGAGTGAAATGTCAATAAATATATTGTTTCAATATAAATGTTGACGTCCCTTATATTTTTATTTCAATAATATGTGAACATATGTGTCATTCTGTGTGATCATGTATGTGGAAATAAAATAAATTTCGTACTACTTAGCAGTTAGTAAGGGAAAATTGATTAACTCGGTTAGCTTTAATAAATTAAATAAATTTAGCGAACATTTTTTTTTTCAATATAAAATTTGAATTGTACAAAACATTAATTTATTTTTTTTGTGAATATAAAATTTTAATGGAACAAAATGAATTAAAAAGAAATTTATAATTTGTCAAAAATCAAAAACAGCCATATACAACAGCCATATCTTAAAACAGCATACCCCCCCATTTGGTATCAGAGCAAAAAAGGAAGTAGTGATCGGGATAGAAAAAAGTATAATTCTTAGAATCTTTAGAAAATTCTTATTTGTTTTATGATTTTTAGAATTTTACTTGTAGATTTAGAAAAAATATTCTATAATTTTACATTTTATAAAGAAATAGAAGAGATTTTTGAATACGGTATAGAATTAATTTCTTTTGAAAAATATAAATTTATAGACTATTTATTTGCTATCTTACAAGTAACTAAAGATTTACATCCAGAATTAAAAGAACAGATTTTATATAGATCTTTAATTTCAGAATTTAGGGAAGAATATTTTATAAATAGTTTTGACCAGATATTTATATCAGATTTAGAAATAAGGATTGAATTAGATAATATAAATAATAATTATTTATCAGATAATACAAATTATTCATTAGATTCTTTTTATTATTCAGAATAGACCTTTAAAAATATTTTTATAACAGAATATATTTATTATTATTTAGAACTCTGGACATCAATAGAAAGCTTGAATTCTTAGATTTAGAAATTTTAAGAAATACTAGTAAAAAAGTACAAACTATTGATAATAATATAATTAAGTGTAATTTAGATAATAAACATAAATTACATAGTTTATTTTCAGAAGAACCAAGTCAGAATTGTTTAGTAGACCTAATCATAAATTTATCAAGAAATTTAGAAATAGAAAATAAAAAACAAAATAGTTATTTAGAAATTATAAAAGAAAATACTACGGCTAGAGACCAAGAAATTAAGAATATAAAAGAATCTTTAGATTATATTAAAAACCAAAATTCAAGTATTTTAGAAAAATTGGCTAAATTAGAAAAAATACCATCTAAGGTAGATTTAACAGAAATAAAAAGAACTGTCTGAATTATTGTATCGTTCTTCCTTTGAATCTTCATCTTCATCTTTATCTGAAAGTCTGGAGTTACAAGCTTCATCTTTTTCTTTCTGATCTGTACATTCTGCAATTTCTTTTTCTTCTTCATGGTTCTTTTTTAATATTGTCTCAAATGCTTGGTTAACTGCTTCTCTTATTTGTTCTTTTAGTCCTTCATCATTTTTCTTCTTCTTAATCTTTTTCTTTTTTTTAGAAAAAGTACCTTCATCTTTTTTAGATTGTTTTTGAAGTTCTTCAATTTTTTCAAAGATCTTTTCTAAAGAAGCGGTATCTGGATTAGGATCTTGTGATTCTTGAAAAAATAAACATTCTTGACTATCTTGGACTACCATTTTTTCTTTTCCCTTACTGGATTGAATTTCTTGGACTTGTGAAAGTTCTGGATTATTTGAAAAGTGTTCTGAAGAAAAATGTTCTGGTGGACTATACTTTATTAAATAATCAAATTTTTCACTGGGCTGTCCTAAAAGATCCCAAATTTCTTTACCTTTTTCTGTAGCAGATTTATCAGTCTGCTGAGTCTGATTGTCTAATTTAGTAGAAGAATCAACAGTCCCCTGAGTCGTTGGGTTTTTGGTAAGTCCACAACCTTTAACGGATTTGATGAGTCTTTACCAGCTACCGTTTGGGCTGGACTAGCTATGGATTTCTTGGGCTCCATAGTACCTGTTGGATAATGGACTTTTAAATCCAAAATCTCCTTTTCTAGTTGGGCCACTTTCTTTTGGAGTTGAGTTCTTTCTAGTGAAAGGTCTTGATTTGCTTCATTGATAACTTTAAAATTTCTCTGCATACATTCACAATGTTGGCAGAAAATATTCTGGTCTTTGCTTGGAGAAAATCTAATGGAGGGTCTGAGTAATTCTTCAAGGAAGGAGATAAATAAAAATTTATTCCTATCTGTTGTCTTACAACATCTAATGCTTCTTGAAAATTTGTAAAACCTTTGTAAAGAGGTTCTGGAAAATTTTTAATACAATCTAAAACTTCTAACCAAGAATGGAAAATTCCTGGAGTTCTTCCTTTAATAACAGCATAAAATTTAAACCTTTGCTTGTTCTGACTAAAATGTTCTGACAATGCATTCATGCATGCAAGAAAGTATTTTTGGTCTTTTGGATTCTTATTATAAGAGATCCATAAATTGTCTAAGATGCATTTTTCTTCTTTAGATAAAGAAATATGCGGTAAAATTTTAAAAGAAATATTATTATTAGGAAAAACTATGAGTTCTTGGTTTCCAAACCTTAGTCTGTCTTGTAACATTGGTCTGTTCTGATTAAATGGAGTCTGTGGTAATAGTCTTGATGCAAATGAATTCCCCGGTGGAATTCCTGGTCTTATAGGCCTTGGCCTTGTCATCTGTATAAAGAAATTGTGTTAAACAAATTTAATAATTTCTATCTATTATTATTCTATTTAATATATCTGCTGCCTTGTTATCACTACCTTTAATATGCTCGAATTCTATATTGATTCTTGTATTTGTAATTCTATCTATAAAATTTAACCATCTTCTTCTACTACTTCTTTTTGAATATATTTTCATTTTATTAACAAAAGAAACTATAGCTACACAATCTGTTCTTATAATTATTTCTTTTTTAGATATAATAAATAATTCAAAGCTATCTAATGCATAATTTATGGCTAATAATTCTGCATCTATACTACTTAAATTTCCTTTCTCTTTATAGTTTCCACTATTATATCTACAAATTCTTTCTGTACTTTTACCAGTGTATTTATTGGGTTTGCATATTAGTATGGCTCCCCATCCTATCATACTTCCATCTGTTTCTATGATTAGGTATTCTGAGTGTAAAGGCATAGCTAATTCTGGTAGAGTTTTTATTTTTTCTTTTATTTGTTGGACTAATTTTATGTCTTCTTGGTTAAAAAATCTTTGTCCTGTAGGAGATGTCTTTGCATATAAAGGTCCTGCAATTTTTCCTAAATCTTTTATAAATGGTCTAGCATAATTTACTAATCCTAAAAATTTTTGAATTTGTTTTAGGTCTTCTAATTTATCTGGAAATTCTAAAGCTTTCTTAGCAATATGAGGTTGTAACTTAATTTTACCTTCTCCTATATTAACTCCTAAAAATCTATAAATTCTTTAAATAAAATCATTTTCTTCTTACTGATTATTAAACCGTGTTTAATAAATTCTGAAAATACTATTTGTAAATGTCCCCTATGTTCTTGTTTATTTTTACTAAATACTAAAATATCATCTATGTATACTATTACAAACTTACTATGTCTATTAAAAATACTTTCCATTTTTCTTTGGAAAATACTTGGTGCATTCTTAATTCCAAATGGCATTACAAGCCATTCAAAATGTCCTTCTGGACGGGTAAAGGCTGTCCACTTAATACTTTTTGGGTGCATTTTTACTTGCCAAAATCCTGATTTTAAATCAAATTTGCTAAAGATTTTACATTCTTGTATTTTATTTATTAACAATGTCTTGTCTGGTATGTTATAAGTATCATCTATAGTATTATCATTAAGTCTTTTATAGTTAATAACCATTCTACTTTTTCCTCTAACAATTTCTGAATATTTTCTAATTATAAAGGTTGCTGATCTATGAGGACTTTCTGATTTTCTAATTACTCCTAATTCCAAGAGTTCTTTTATATGTGTTTTGAAATCTTCTATATCTAAATTTGTTGCTTCTATATTCTTAGTTTTAATTATGTATTCTGGATTCTTTATTTTTAACTCACACAATATTTTGTCTTTTTCCCAATATTTTAAAATATTTTCTCCTATTATTTCTATTTTTTCTAATCTAGAAATTAGATTTTCTATTTCTTGTTCTGTTATCAACATATCATAAATTTTTTCATTATCAATTAATTCTATAGTTCCAAAGTCTATGTTTTCTTCTTCTGAAGTTTCAGAACTTATTTCTTCTAAATTATCTTCTTCTATTAATTGGCATTCTCTTGCTTTTTCACACTCACAACTATTACTACTATTGCCACCATGCTTCTCTACGCACTCTGATGGAAAATAAGTAGTTTGGGTTGGTGTAAATAATGTATGTTTTTGTAAATGTAAAAAATCTTTAGTGATTGTAACACTTCCATTATCTTTTAATAAAAAACTTAATCCTATAATAAAGTCTGTATCTTTAATATTCAAAGGTCTAACCCATACGGATTCTTTTGGTAAGGTATATTCTATACTTCTACCACAATTTGTCTCAAAACTAATCTTACTATTTGATTGTAATAATTCTGTATAAGTATAAAGTTCTCCATCCATTTGTTGTGCCTCTATTGGTTTATCTGAGTATGTTATATATTGTTTTGGTATTAATTTCTTATTAATTACTACATCCCGAGTCTATTAATCCTAAACATTTTATTTCATATTGTCCTATTCTTATATAACATTTTACTTTAATACTTTTAAGTTTTTCTGGATTACATATCACCTGAACATATTCTTTTTCTTTGTATTCCATACCTTGACTATGTTCTTCTATTTCTATTGTTTTTCCTTTATTATTATATTCTAACATTTCTATCTTATTTATTATAAATTTCTGCATTTCTTCTAAACTTTCAATTCTTTTCCTAAGAATTTTTATTTCTGATATTTCAATTTTTTCTTTTAAAATTTCTAAATTGACTTCTTCTTTTTCAATAAAATTCTTTTCTTCTAAACATTTTATACATGCTTCTTTATAACATTCTAAACATTTAGCTCTAAGCTTTCTTACTGGGTACCAGTTACATAAATAACAAGCTATATTATTTGATCCTTTATATTTTTGCCAATTATGTAAACATTCTATAGTTATACTATTCATTAAATTTAATTCTTCTTCTGATTCTGACTCTTCTTGTAATTTTACATTAGAAAATTCATCTATTATTTCATAATCAGATTCTTTGTTATTTTCAAAGTCTCTGTCTTCTATTGATATAATATAAAATGAATTAAAAAGAAATTTATAATTTGTCAAAAAGTTTCAAATTGCAACACAAGAAAGCTTAAAGAAATCACGGATATATATATACATATATATCCATAATGTGTGAAAAATATTCAATTATGACAACACAACAAGCGAATATATTCACTATATACAGAATCTATCAACAACATTCAATTATCGTAACACAACAAAATGGTTGTGACATTTACTCACATGCAAACTTTTAGCTACTTTTTCTCGTTCACTCATTGTCCTCACATTCACTCCCCCATCCACATATTTAGCTACAATTATTTGTTATATTCACCCACTTTCCTTCACTCACTCTCTACACATTTTAATTCAAGTTTCATTCTCACATTCATTTAGTCGGAAACATTTCCCACATTCACTCAAAAAAGACGCTCATTTGATTGGAAAAAGTAAGTAATTCAAAATTTGTATTTAATATTTGTGTTACTTAGCAGTTAGTTGAATATTTTGAAAGAAAATATACTTTTAAATTACAATTTACTCAAAAAACCTTGTCTCCGTGTCACGGAGACGCGCTGCTTTTTTTTTGTAATTACCCACCCAATATGTTTTACGTCATATGTAAACAAAAATATTACATTTTGTTTAAAATATTAATTTTTGATTTTAATTTTGTTTAATATACAAGACGTGAAAAAAATTATATTTGTTTGGAAATATTAATTCTTAAATAATTGTACAATTAACTGTACTTTGTTTTACTATAATAAATGTGTACAATCAAATGAAAATATTAATTCTTGAAAAAATAATTACAGTTGTTTAAAAATATTAATTCTTGAAAAAATAATTACAGTTGTTTAAAAATATTAATTCTTGTATAATTGATGCAGATGTCTTTAGAATACGTTCTCTGTCCAGAACAATGGTTTTCTGTTACCATCTTTCAGTATCCAAATCGTCAATACGTTCAAGATTTTGTAAATTTTATAGATGCAAATCAACAATGTTATTTGATGTGTAGTAATTTTTATGAATTTATATATGGAGTTGTTTTCAAAGGAGACGAAGAACAATTTACTAGCAAGTTGGTACACGAATTTATAATGAGACTTGTGCATTGTGGCAAAAACAATGAACTTTGGGTACGGTTAGATGACCATCTTGCTAGGTTTGGCTTGCAAGAATTTTGCCTCATTACTGGACTACATTGCCATGAACCATCCGTAGAAATTGATTATAATAACGATCGTCTTAGAAATCAATACTTCAATGGCACAAAAAAATAGCAACAGAATACTTTTTGAAACTTTCCACATGTGTGAAGTTACAGAAGATAAATTTAAACTGGAATTAGTTATGTTGGTTGAGTGTGTGTTGAAACCGACTTCACGACAAGTTGATTATAGAACTCTGGGCATGGTTGAACATTTGGATGAGTTCCTCACGTATCCGTGGGGCCGGATAGCATATTTCGTTTTGTTAAATTCATTAAAAGAGTCACAATTGGAAAGAATACTAAGGATGCAACAGAATGGACAAACAAAATGTAAGTATGCATTATAAGGCTATCCATTCGCATTTCAGGTATTATGTTCCTATTCTAATTATTTACGTATTATGTATAATTTCTTTGTACAAAGAATAAAATTTATACATCACATTTCTCTTTCTTTACGTTGCAATATTGGATATATGAAGCGTTTCCACAAATTGGACAAAAGTTTGGTCGTCGTAAATATAGAACGGTGTAGATTCCACAAATCTATAATTGGAGGTCTAATACTATATTGAAGGAATCGGTTGTTAAGTAACTTTTGGATACTCAAGATGTATGAATTTTTTATTTTCAATGGAGAATGACATTCGTATTTTATTATTAACAAGTTCAATTAAACAAATGGATTTTGATAGTTTGTTATGATACAGATCGAAGTCATTGCAGTGCTGCAGCCTACAGAGGAAGAATTACAAACACCCAAGTACACAAATCTTTCACTGCCGGCTGACGATGAACATAATATATTAGATGCCATTGTCACTGGAGAAGTAGATAATGTAGTACCACAAATACCGGATAACATCCGTGTGCAAGAAACGACTAGTCGTGGTACATCGAGAACTTCAACTGGAGTTGGGCCTAATTCTGCTTTTGGTGCCTCCAGATATGTAACTGAAGATCGAATGGAAGAAATGTTGGATATGTACAGGCAACATACGATATTAGATGTGTCCAGTCTGTGTGGCAACTTGAAGGCAGAATTTGTTGAAGAATCCAGAGCCCTAAACCAGAATATCCTTGAAAGCCAAAAGCAACTGTTCGAACAACATAACAAATCGATGCAAGATTACATGCTATGTGGTATGCAGTCATAAATGGATAATTCTCTATCAAATATATTTAGCACTCATATGGCCCAGGAATCGCAACAACAAGAAGCCCAATATCAGGCGATTCTTCGAAAATAAGAAGAATTATTCCAGCAGCAACAGGAGCACATACAGTCTTATATTGATACAAGTTTATGTTCTGTCAGATCTTACATTGATGAAAAGAATGAGAATATGCTAAACAGATTATCTAATTGGGAATCCAGCATAGAAGCCAGAATAGGTTCCATGCAGCAGGATGTTCCTCTCCATGCAAGTCCAAATCCTACTGTTCAACCGCATGAGACATCAACGTCTCAACTAGCAGAAAGTGTTGACATGCGGAGAAAAGAAAGGGAAAAGAAGATGAAATACACACAGGCTTCGTCATCCATAGGTCGTCCCTTAGAAGACTACGAATGAACAAGTACAAAAATATTAGGAATTGGATATCGAGAAATCAATTTGGGTAATAAATGTAACTCATTCTGAATAGTCCGAATGCTAAATATTATTATATCAATGTCAAAAATTATTTGTTGAATTATTTGACAGTAATTTAAATTATGTTATACAGTGCATATTTGGACGATGTCCGTGGCAATGTTTATGGAAGAGACATGCTAAAAAATTTAATGGATCCGACGAAGGATCTGAATATTGCGGTGAGTGAAGGTTTGCAATCACAATAAATTTTATTTCGTAGTTAATATGTCCAATAAATGTTACAAATATTTATTGCATTAGCATATTGAGGTGGAGTTGAAGTTATTGAGGTAGCGTATGAATGAAGATTGTACTCTCGTCAATAAAAAATATGCAATTTTAGATTTTCAATTTGAACAGGAGTGTTGTCAGCAAATGAGATGGCACATGGAATATAACTAGAGAGGTGAATGAGATGGAACTCACCTACAAGGCTACGTCAACAATATATTGCCTGTAGCTGGTCGTCCGTGGATGAGATGCAAGTATTTATTAATTCCAAGTTCATATCCAGGCAATGAATGTTATCTGTTTCTGGTCAATATTCCTAAATGGAAATTCTACATATACAACTGAAGCAATAATGTTCACACACCTGATACAATCAAGGCTCACGCAGAAGCAACATGCACAGTCGTTCAAGGATTATTACAGTGTCTACACCTGTCCACCAAACGAGATATAAAAAAAATATAAATGATCCAATGAAAATGGAGATTATACCTTATCTACCGTGTGCGAACAATGAGTGAGCATTTCAACTCTTGTTATTTACTACCGTAGTTAATCTATTGTATATACTAATTTCGACTAACAAAAAATCATTTATTGTATAGGCTAAATTGCATAATGTTTGTACTCAAGTATATAGAATGCTTCGTTCTCGGGCATCCAATAGAATCAGTTTCAGCAGAGGATGTCAATATACAGAAGAAAGATTGCGGTCGATTTTTTGAATAACGAATACTTTCTTTATCTCCGATAGTGAAATAGTTGTCGTGGCTTAGCTGTACTTTCCTTGTGTGACTGTTGATGATCAGCCGGTTCATGATGCCGTCGTTTGAAATATGTATTTTGCTTTATGTGGTGGTACATACATGTATTTTGGTTTTATGTGGTGGTACGTAAAATGTATTTTGGTTTATACAGTGGTTTGCATATTTCAATTTATATGGTGGTATGTAATATGTTCTCGAACTGTCATTCTAGACAAATGAAATATCAAGCGTCGAGATTCACAGCTATGTAATGTCGAGAACGACATATCAAACGTCCGAAAATCGAATAAATGTAGAGAAATATCGTATTTTGGTCCAAGTGTCGTTCTAGTCATCCGTAATGTCAAGTGTCGAGATTAACAGCTATTTAATGTCGATAATGACGTTACAAATGTCGAGAACGGCATCAAATATCAACATAAATATGATCCAACCAAATTTAACTAAGAGTGAAGGCAACCAAATGGTGTATTAACTGCAAAAACTGTAGCAAGCAGGTTTATAATTACTATAGCAGTTAAAGTTGGTATGCCAAGCACAAGTACGTTCTCAACCATATTGATTTGAAAAAAGTTGTAAAATAATCACCATGAATGATTTCAACCATATTGGTTGGTGAGATATCTTATCGTGCATTCAACGGACAACTGTTTCTCCACTATAAAATGTTGGACTTTACTTAAATATGTACATACGAGAATTTAACAAATTCATAGCATTAGTTAGTTTTTCCATTGATTATGTCTTCATCAACTCAACATACTCCTGTTCTTGATGTTACTATCACTTTCGATCCCCCCGAGTCGTCCGCGGACAACTCGATCATCATAGACTCAGACTCGGATGATGAAAGTAATATCTTTGTTCCATATATTCGTCAACCTTCGAACCGCCATCGTAGGGTTTGCCTTCATCCCATCCCTTTTTCGAATCTAATGGACGAAATTGAACCAATTCAAGTTCATCGTGAGATCGTCCCAGTACCGGTCCAACTGGAAGCACATCATGTGTTGTTGGATGAAAATGTTGGAGTAGTTCCCATCGAAAATGAAGATTTGATCATCATAAGCTCTGACGAGGAGTATGACAGTGATATGTCCTCTTTGTCCGTCGTAGAGGATATGTAGAAGATGCAGTCATCGTAAGTGAAATGTTTGTGTACATATAGTAGTGCTATAAAATCCATATAGGTGATGGATATTTTTTGGGGTGATCACCATTTTGTATAATAGTTGTCTACGATATATATTGGAGTTATGACTTTCTTTTGTTGTGATTACCATTTTGCCTGCTCCAATGACTTAGGAGAACGAGTCATTCATGGGTTGCTTTTGTATCCATTACCATATTGTGTCTACAATGATTAAGAAAATTCTAGTGATGAAATAGATATGTGCTTGGTCACTTATATGATGAACAAAATGATATCGTAGTGAAATGCTCATAATAATATACATAAGCACCATTTCCCTTGTTGGTAGTTATACTCCAAACCTGGCCTCTCTTGTTTGTATCCATTATGACATTCTAAAATGAAGTGTTGTTTGTATTTAGTGAATGCCCATACAAATTTTCCTGTTTGTGCGCTATAAAATTTTGAATGACTAGAATAATATAAGAGAAAAATCACAAAAAATGGAATGAATCCGTATAAAGGATTCAAAATGTATTACAAACTTAATTTTACAACAAGCAATTGCAAATAAGTGATATCAAGAGAGAACGAAGAAAGAAACAGAAAGAAGTAGAGGTCAAAAATATATTCGACAACATTTAAAACAAGAGGTAGAAATCAAGTAATACAAAAGAAAAAAAATTCAAAACATTGATAATTCATGTTATCAGGGCATTTGATGATCGGAATACACAATGTCATTCAAGTATACGTGTCACTTAAAGATGTCGAATTCTGACATGTTTGCTTGTTATGTCCAGAACCCCCACATCAGTCGCATTTTCATCTCAACGTCGACCTTTTAGTTCTTGACCGTTGACGTTGGGTAGGAGGTCGACCTGGTGCTCTACGTATATTCGGGGGCAAAATTTCGACGGAACAAATAGACTGAGGAACAACCCAATCTGACTCTCGACCAACGGGATGAAGAACTTCGTTGTACGCAGCTCGCCAATATTTTGTGGTGTAGTAAGGGAAGCACAAATCATACAATGATTTTTCTTCTGCGTAAGCAGCTCGGGATGCATGTGAACATAGGATTTGTCGCATCTGAAACTCTCGAAATGAATATGTGTTACCTATAAGGTCGACAGTACAAAGTTCGGTAGCTATACCTATCTCAAAAACGAGTTCGTCCAAATTTCGTACTGGTAAAGTTGCACCGGCGTTGAATGATTTTCTGAATTCATCATCAATGCATGTGAACATAGGATTTGTCGCATCTGAAACTCTCGACATGAATATGTGTTACCTATAAGGTCGACAGTACAAAGTTCGGTAGCTATACCTATCTCAAAAACGAGTTCGTCCAAATTTCGTACTGGTAAAGTTGCACCGGCGTTGAATGATTTTCTGAATTCATCATCAATTTTTGGTGTCACAGTCGTACTACATTTCGTGGATGCACTTTTTCTCTCGTAAAACCATCGTTGCATCAATGACGTAATATTTTCGATCAACGAGATTATAGGGAAACTTCTTTGTCTCCTTAGGACTGAATTTAGTGACTCCGCAATGTTATTCGTCATAACGTTATACCGATTACCAACAAAATGTGCCCGAGACCAGGTGGATATACCGGCACGTTCCAAGTAAGATGCCATTGACGGTCAAATGGTTCTTATCTGTGTCATGAACTGATCAAATTCCAATACGTGGTATGCTAGCGCTGCCCCCTTGAATAAGAAGATGACATTGCTACTGCTATACCTAGCAATAAGATTTTTCTCGATATGCCAAATGCAGACACCGTGGTGAGAAAGTGGGAACAACCTCGTAATTGCCCGCTTAATACTCTTCTTCCTGTCCGACATAAACACTAGCTGGTTTGAATCATCAACGAAATCTTTCAACTTTGCAAAGAACGAATACCACGATGCATTTGTTTCCCCATCGACAACACTCCACGCAAGAGGATATATTTGTAGGTTAGCATCTTGCGCTGTAGCTACTAGTAGTGTTCCCTTATATTGGCCCTTCAAATGACTTCCATCAACACAAATTACTGGCATCATGTATTCTCGAAAACCACGTATACTAGGTTCGAACGCTAAGAAGAAGTACAAGGACCTATTATTCGAGTCGAGTTCAATGTGTGCAATAGTTCCTGGATTTTTCTCGGTTAACATGTGACAATATGATGGCAATTTCTAGGAACTTTTTTCGGGTGTACCACGAAGAAATCGAAGTCCCTTCTCTTTAGCCCTCCATGCTTTGTTGTAGGTAATCCGTACACCAAACTCACGTTCCATATCCCCAATAATACCCGCAGGAACGTATTATTGGTTTGCATCATCTAACCTTCGCATTATGTGATGCCCAATTACTGCACTCGTTGCGTGAATTTGTGCATTTCGTCGAATGTCTAGAGAACGTGTGTGCTCAGGTATGTACTCTCGAATCGTAAATATTTCTGAAATTTTTATCTTAGAAGCTCGTACTAGCCAATGTCATATAGTATCGACACAACACAAGTAAGAGATCTAGGATTTGACTTTTTAACCTTGAAATGAAACTTTTCTTTCAAAGCCTTAAGTTGAAGCCTTTTGTGTAACTGTTGTTTGCTAAATAATATCCGATTCTCCACAATGTCCTCTTCATCAATCGACTCAATTGCATTTCGAATAAACAAATTGCCTTCACCTAAACTTTCATCTATATTATCAATCGTTTGTGGCTCTTGTAGTTCGCACATACCGACTTCATCGCGTCCACACAATGCATCTTCTATTGGTGATAAAGGCTCAACTTCGACATGCAGTTCGTGCGCTCCAGCATTATATTCATCTGCAATTACACACAATGTCGCTTCTGTGTGAATAGACATAAACCATTGCAAATCCTCATCATCGGCTACATCAGCAGGGGGTATATTCATGTTCGGAACTGTAAATTTAAATTGAATTCGGAACTTCATTCTATCAACATTCAGCTTCTCGAATAATTTATGAACAAGCTCTTCATATGTAATATCATGTCGAACAACAATTGATGTTGTTCGGTTCCCTAACCACTTCCACCCGTCGTCTATGTTAACGAATCTACCACTATACGAGACAACAAATCTCTTAACATCTCCCATATCTGCATGTCATAAACAACAATACTGCCAACCACTAACGAAAATCGAAAACGAAAATGCTACCTGCATGCAATATGTGAATTGCTATACACGAAATTTCCCCAACTTACTCAAGTTTTTAATGTTATTGTCAGCATTTGACAGTGTCGAGAATGATAGTATAAATATCATTCTAGACGTTTATAAATGTCGTAAACGATATTTATACTATCATTATCGACATTTATAAAATGTCGAGAATGAAATGACGGGATTTCGTGCATTTATCATCTTCTTCAACTTCAACCACTATTTTTGTAAGAATTTATTCCACCATAAATGATATTCTAAATACAGAAGTATATTATCTAACTAAGTTATTTAAGATGAATGGTAAAAAAAATATATACTCAGGATCATTTCGTCCATTAAAAGGAAAAAATACCTTATAAAAAAATTGAGATTTGAACATATATAACAACAACTACTAAATAAAATTTATCAAAAAAAAAAAAAAAAAAAGAGGGTTCAAAAAAAAAAAATTCGAAGAAATATACT